CAAAACCGTAGTTGCACATTTAGATAGTTTATCTTTTGCATAGGTTTTACTAAGGATAGAAAAAGGGGCCATAGTTTAGAGTTAGAGTTTTAAGTTGCCTAATTCACCCCCCCCTCTTAGGCATCATGGTCCCCTTTCACTTCTTTTGAACGAGCAATGGGTTGGCCAACCACTCGAGATGATACACTTCTTTAATAAATTTGGCTGCTAGAGGCTGGTTCAATTCTACCCTAATAGCCTCCTTCTTGTCTGGCGTGAATCGTTGGAGCTTCTGCTTGATCGGCTTAGTGGTCGGTGAGACATGTAAGGAGTGCTCAATCAGCTCCCTTGGTACCCTAGGCATGTCTGTCAGGTTTCCATGCAAACACATCTGCATTGGCACGTAGCAAGCTCACGAGCGTGCCTTCCTATTTGGGGTCTAGGTGGGCCCCGATCTTCACGGTCTTGGATGAGTCGGTGAGGCCAAGGCTCACCACCTTGGTTTCCTTGGCCTTGGTAGCTTCACGAGGCATCGGGATCTCCTGTTCTTCCAGGGGCACCTTCTTTGACTCGACAAGGTAGGCGTCCATGCGAAGGGATATGTCGACTGCCTCGGTGAGTGCGAGACTCCCCTTCTCATAGGCGTAGGTGATGGTGAGGTTAGCCTGCAAGGTAAGGACTCCTCTCGGGGGCTGGCATCTTGAGCGCCATGTAAGGATAGTGTGGCATGGCCATTAACTTGGTCAATGCCGGGCGACCGAGGATGGCGTGGTAGGCGGTGTCGAAATCAGCAACCAGAAAGCTGATATACTTGATGCGGAACATCTTGATGGTGTTGTACTGCACTGGTAGAGTGATTTTGCCCTAGGGGCTGGCAAGCCTTTCCGGGATGACCACTAGAAAGGAGAGTTGACGGGGGTGAGATCTTCCTTAGAGAGGCCTAGCTTAGACAAGGCATTGGCGAAGAGAATGTTGAGGGCACTGCCACCATCGATGAGGACCTTCGTGAAGTGCACCTTGCAGATGATGGTGTCCAGCACGAGGGGGAAGCGTCCTGTGTATGGGATCTCTACCCACTGGTCGGCCTTGCTGAAGGTGATGGGCTGCTCTGACCAGGGGAGGTATCTGGGGCCGGCGATGGTGTTGATGCCCCTAACAGATAAGACTCATTGGTAGGTGAGCTTCTTGTGCGCTTGTTCTCGAGGCTGGCTAGACCCTCGAAGATCATGTGGATGGTCTTGCTAGGATCTTGAAAGGCGCCACCCGCATTGGGGGTTCACGATCCTTGCCGCCATTGTTGTCGTCTGCACGTTTCTTATCCGCCTATTCTTGGAAGATATTTGCTAGACCCATGCACTCCCTCATGGTATGCTTTGTGCCCTTGTGGATCGGGCACGAGCCGTCGAGAAGCTTGTCGAACTGTGCCTTGTTGTTGTGCTTTACACGAGGCTACTCGACGAAGGCGACGAAGTTCTCTGGTCGCCGGCATCGGAGTTGTCCTACCCTCGAGGTCTCCTACCCATCGCGATGGTCGACAACTGTCGAGGCAACGCTCGTGGTCATCGTAGTGGTGGTCTCAATCATCGATGCGCCGTTCATCATAGCGTTCGTCGTTGCGACGTGGTGGACGTCGGGCTAGGGAACTCGAGTGATATCTTCGCGGTGACACAGGTCAGCCTCCTCAGCATTAGCATATTGTTTGGCGGTTGTGAACATCTCACCAATCGATCGCTGGTGGCATCCTATTGAATTTCCTATGGAGCTCATCATGAAGGTCAAGCCCTTGGATAAAGGCGGTGATAACCTCGGAATCTAGGATGTTTGGAATATGATTCCTGACCTTGGAGAAAAGCCTGATGTAGCTCCAAATGAACTCGCTAGGCTTCTGATAGACCCTGGCCAGGTCATGCTTCGTCCTCGGCTGCTCAAATGTAGCCTTGTAAATCTCAATGAATAGCTTCTTGAGGTCATCCCATGAGTCGATGATGTTCGATTGGAGGTTCGTGAGCCAATTCATCGTGGCGGGTTTAAGCATGACGGGGAAGTAGTTCGCCATGATGTTGGTGTTGCCACCACCGGCCCCGCACAGCGATGGCATAGCTCGTGATCCATTACTCAGGGTTGGCATGACCGTTGTACTACTCGACACCGGAGATCTTGAAGTTAGGGGGCCACTATACAGCCCGTAGCTTTACGGTGAATGCTCGTCAGACCATCGATAACGTCGGTGACAGTAGCGCCCCCACCGGTTGGTGGAACAGCGACACCGACAGCTGGTCGGGCGGCGTTATCATCGGGCTAGGCGCGTTGGCAGAGTAAGCCAAGCTGGATCGGGTCAAACGCCGCATCGGGGTTGCCCCAAGCTTCATTGCATTGCTGGCGGTGAACGATCTCTTCCGCGTGGCGCGAGTTGCGCCGATTAGCGATACGGCGACGAACGTCATGATGATTGTTGAGATGTGTCGTAGATCACCAGCAGGTTGTTCAACCTCCCGATTGATGTTGGGGTTGGCGTACTGCGGCCGTTCCCTGGGATTGACAATGTAATTGCCCCTTGATCCCCCTTGGAGATAAGGGCCGCCTGCCTGGAGGCGGCTTCCACTAGGTCGTTGGGATCTAGCCCTTCATGGCCCAGTGGATCGGTTTGAGGAGGTGGAGTGGGATGGCGCCTGATTCTAGCGAATTTTGTTAACTGAAGCCGTGGCTGCTTTGAGCATGTCGGTGGCTTTGGCGAGCTCTGGTGACGGCGCGAGCCTACCTAGCTCGTTCATGGTGATGGCGAGGTTGGCGCTTGGTGTTGGTAGGACCTCATGCCCATCAACTTGGATGAATTCCTCCTTGAGGTTGCGGGCGACACGGTGCCCTCCCTGATTATGAGCGGCGTCGCCACCGTCGCCCAGGCTAGGATTGGCATTTGCTACGGCTGCGGTGGCGTTTGCTTTTGCGCGGCGCCGGGCGTGATCGGTGTTTCTTTCTTCTCGCGGTGCGCTGAGCATCAGTCTCCCCATTGTTAGCAGCACTATCGGCGCTGATCATGAAGATTTCCCAGAAAGCATCTAGGCGGGGATGGAGAGCTGCCGATGAGGTCGGTGATGGTTTCAGTGATGATTTTGGTGGAGCCTTCTGACTCCGCCCTCGGATCTGCCTCCAGGATCGAGAGCCGAGAATCGTCATCAAGCTGACGAAACTGCACCATATTGGAAGCCGGTGCAAACTGGTCGGCGCTCGGTGATATGAAGCGGCAGCCTCTTGATATGAAGCGGCAGCTTTGGCCAGCCCGTAGGGGTGAGCCGTCGCGAGGATCTTGCATCAGAGCTTGCCGACCAGCCCTGGGCCGATCAGATCTGGGGGCGGCCAGCGTTGCACTGTGCGCCCTTGTGGAGTCACCATGATGGTCAGATCTGCATCTTGCCACCTCAGATGGCATGACCGAGCGGAGCGCTTAGGGCGAACCACTTGGAATGGAGGATACTCGTCGTCGTAAAGAGACCGATCTTGGATCGACTCTACGAGCGACAAGCATTCGGCGAGCTTCTCGTCAACCTGATCTATAGATTAGATCAGGTCATCCTACTGGACGGGTTTCCTCGACCAGCGTGGCGCCAAAGGGCGAGCTATCGAAGAAGAAGATGAACCCGGGAGAGATCCCGAGATAGGATCTGCTGGCATAGATGTCAGAGCTGCCGACGTGGGGTTGTCCTACACCGGCTGGATGACCTCCCCGTCGCTGTTGGCGTTGACGACCCAGGTGATGGAACCGATCGTGAAGGTTTGGCCGGCCCTGGGAGCGAACGGAGAGCTTGGAAAACATACCATCTGGCCCACCATGGGATCAAGTGCATACCCCTACCTGGCGCGCCAACTGTCGACTAAATGTGCTCGGCAATCCACCGAGGAGTATACCCACGATGGTAGATTTGTCGAAGAGGTGAGCGAGATCATGAGCAAGATGGTGACAAGACACAAGATTTAGACAGGTTCAAGCCGTCAGCTTGGTGTAATACCCTAATCCTGTATCATGTTGGTTGTATTGGCTGTCATATATGATTGCGTGTGTTTTGAGGAGATCCCCTACCGCCTTATATATATCCGGGGATAGGGTTATATTCCGATCAGGTCAGAGTCCGATCGGATAAGATATAACATATACATGGAATCATACATTCGGCATATCCTAACAGATTCTACACGATCTTTAGGATGTCGCGCGAGGTGTCTTGCGGCGTGCGCCGAGCTGTGCCATGAGCCGCAAGCCATCATCTTGTCCCTTGCGGTGCGGCCCATGTAGTCCGCCATGGGTACCTGAGGTTAGACCAAACACCCCGAAAGGGAGAATCACACGAGTTTGATATAGATAGATCCTTTTTCTTTGATAAGTTTGGTGCTTAACTTGCCCTTTGAATTGTTTATTTTGTTTCCAAAGTCGTGTTGCTTTTTATTTGGGTGTCTTCAACTATTTAATAATATTATATTGTTGCATGCAAAACTCTTATAGAGTTCATAATATAGTTTATTCTTGTTTTTTTAAATTATTGATTTTCTTGTTGGGTTTCATTCAGATTTTGCATGTGCTGTTGCAATTTTTCTTTGGGAAAATATGCTGAAATTCAAATTTTCTTCTCTTCTAACTTTTCATTTTGTGATTAATCATTTTGAATTGATCCAAGATGTAATAAAAACTCGATGCAAAATCAATCGGATGATAGGTAGCCAATCAACCATGGCAAGGCCTAAGATATATCTCTCTCGGAACACTCAGGCACATCATTAGATCACGGGAGAGGGAAATTATAAAAGTGCCAGAACAATTCCCGTGCCACAATCAAACTTGCAGGCGAAGGATCTATGCAAATGCAAGACCGAAGACTCTAACCAAGAACCTATGGAAGGAATCAACAAATGCAAAAAGCTTGTTCACCAAAAGCGAGCTGCTAGAACGCGGGGCATTCCAATTTTCACGATCGCGCAAACATGACAGCTCCTGGCGGTTTCCAGCAGTCCAGCTACAAAGCGCAGCAGCCTCAGTCCGAGGCATGCCCGGACGACGGCCGCCGCGCCGGAAGCTCCGGCTTCACGCCCAGCGTTTTCCTTGTCGCCGGCGGAGGCTTCACCGCGCTCGCCGGTTTCACCTTCTGCTGAGACCCTGCAGAGAATTCAAAGTACCACGTTGAGAATTGGATACAACCAAGTTTTCTTCAAGAAAATGTGGCGACAGATCAATGCAACGCACCTCCTTGTCTGGGCGCCGTCTTGCCGTCCGCCTTCCTGACCGGAGGAGTCTTCTTGCCGTCGCTGCTGTCCGGGCGCGACCTCACGGTGCTGCCCGACACGGTGGACGCGTCGTCGTCTGGCGTGGTCGCCCCGACCCTGTTATCGTCGCTGCACAGCGAGTTCTCCTCGCTTCCGGAATCCGTGGCCCTGTCCCTGCTGGCGTGCGCGCCGACGGCGGTCTTCTCCCTCTCCACGGCCCTGTACGCGAACATTTGGAACGGCACGTCCGCCACGCGCGGGGGCGCGCCCTGCCCCCGCTGCCACGCCGGGATCCGCCTCAGAAGCTGCGCCTCGATGTCGAGGTAGTCGGCGGCCGACGCGGCTGGCGGCGCGTCTGCCTGCTGTCCCTGCTGCTGCTCCGGGTTCATGACCAGGAACCGCTTCACGTACCTGAGGACGCGGCAGACGGAGGCGAACGGCGGGCGTTGCGCCGGGTCGGCGTGCCAGCACCGCTTAGTCAGGGCGACCAGGTACTTGGGCGCCTGGAACGGGAACAGCGGCCGCTCGCCGGCGCGGATGTTCTTGCTCGTCTTGTCGGCCTGCAGGTGGTTGTCCTCGAACGGGACCTTGCCCGTCAGCAGCTCAAAGCAGATCATCGCGAAGCTGTACACGTCCGCCTTCTCGGTGTGCCTGTCGCGGCTCTCCTGATGCTCGAGAACCTCCGGCGCGTACCAGATGCAGGTGTCGTCGCCGCCGCCGCCGGCTGCGTTGCCATTAGCAGACGCCTTTGCGCCGTTTGTGACGGTGCCGGCCGGCCGCTCAAACCCGGCGACCTTGACGTGCACGTACCCGTCGGGCTGCCGCGGCTTGACGAGCACGTTGGACGGGTTGAGCTCGCCGTGGTAGATCTTGTTGGCGTGCAGGTACTCCATCCCGCGCGCGATCTGCAGCATGATGTCGACAGCGACGATGAGGGGGAACGGGATTCGCCGGCGCGGGGAGCTCATCTCCTTGACGTAGCTGCCGAGGTCCTTGGGCATGAGCTGGTCCATGACCACGAAGTACTCCTTCCTCTCCTCGTCGTGGAAGCAGTAGGCGGCGTGCGCCACGTTCGGGTGCGCCACCGACGAGAGCATCGACACCTCGGCCTCGGCGTCCCCGATGAAATGCTTCACCGCGAAGCTCTCCCCCATCCAATGCGCCTCCTTGAGGTGGCCGCCGAGGCGCCTCCGCACGCTGTAGTCGCCGTTGAGCAAGACAGACGCCGGGTGCAGCTTTCCGCGCGGCGCGACCAGGACGTCGGCGAGCCGGCGCTCGCTCTTCGTCAGCGGCTTCGGCGCCGCCGGCGACTTCATCTCGTCGAGCAGCTGCGACAGCAGCCACCTGTCCTCCTTCCACGCCGTGTCCATCCGCGCAACGAGCTCCTGGGACACCAGGTACAGCCTGCCGTAGGCGTGCTGGAACAGCCTGGGCTCGAGCATGCTCCTGCCGTCGTACTTGTTGGCGAGCACCAGCCGCCTCCGCGCGATCTCGTCGGCGTCGTCGCCGGCGATCTCCGCGGCGGCCTCGACGGCCTCGACCGCGACGGCGACGCACCAGAAGATGCCGTGCAGGTGCTGGTCCACGCACTCGGTGCCGTGCGCCGCCGCCACGGCGCGCGCCCACCAGCTGCCCCCGCCGCGCGGGTCCAGGCAGTGGCGGACGTAGCCCTCGGTGTCGCGGAACGCGCGGTGGAGCTCGCGGAGCGCGGGCTCCACGGCGCGCCACTTGGCGCCGCGCTCCTCGAAGCGGAGGTGCGCGCGCACCTCCCCCGTGACGGCGGCGAGCGCGTGCGCGCACGCGTCGGCCAGGAGGCGGCACTGGCGCGGGTTCACGCGGAGCTCGGGCTCGAACGCCATGAGCGCGTTGATGGCGCCCACCGCCTCGCCGAGCTGCCGGAGCTGCTCCATCGATCCCGACCGGCGATCACCGATCAGTCTTTCTTGCCGAGACGACGAGGACGGATCGAGTGCGTGCTGCGGTTGATTGCTCCTTGGCTCTGTGTTCCTGAGATGAGATGGCCTCGGTTTCTGCCGATGCAAAACAAAGACGGTTATGTTTGTCTCAAATGAAATGAGCGCGTTTCCATTGGAGATGTTGGAGTCCAAGTATGAAACTGACGAAAGACTGAAAGAGATTTCTCGACATGTCGAAAATGCACTGGCCTCATTTACTACTTGCTTGATGCGGCGAAATACAGAAAAATACTATATACAGTTAAACAAAAGCTGGGAACTGATTTTGGTATGTATTTCTGGTTTCTTATTAAGATCCTACAGACTACCATGTAGCTAGCTGTCCCTCCTCTCTCTTGCTGTTTCTTTCTACCTTTTCAGTTATCTCCTTTTTTGGGATGAACAGATCTTGCGTGTGAAATCGAATCAAGACTAAAAATTTATCTCAGCACTAAACTGGTGAGTAGGGAGTACATAGCACTGGTGAATATATGAAGAGGTAGAAAGTGCATGTTTTAGCACAAAGATTAAAACTGAGTTGCATATCACAAAGAGCAGGCACGAAACAAATCGAGGGGAGAGAGAGAGAGAGAGAGAGAGAGAGAGCTTACAAGCTTGTTGAAGCGCGGGCGAAAGAACAGGAGGAGGATCGCCACACCTGGGTCCAGCCAGCCAGGCCAACACAAGAGGCAGGAAGAAGAGAGGGCCGATCGATGAGCCGAGGAGCCCCAGACAAAAGAAAGAACCGTGGAAAACCTTATCTGAACAAGGACGTGTAAATTGCTTGAGGAAGTGGTCAAAATGGAAACTTCCAAAGGAAGCGCGGCCTTTGACGAAGAGACCCCAGCTAAAAGGGACAAGAAGAAAAGGAGTCCCCAAAGCGAAAGAGGAAAACGACGACGGCGGAGCAAAGAGGCCCTGGGTGGGAGGAGGAGGAAGAGGCGATCGGAGTGACGTGATTTTGGAGGGGAGCCTCTGGGCGTTTTGTTTTCCCACCCACGTCGATCCGCCGTTTGTTTTCCTTGCTAATAACCGCAGGGAGTTATGGAGGCGACGCTCCGTTTTCCCAACTCTGAACGTGGTGGAGTGGCAAGCTGGCAACTGCACGGTGGTTTTTCCAGGTCCACGTTTGGGCGGGCACCGTTTGGAACCCAGCCACGGGCTAACGGCCCCTGCTGTCACGTCACCACGTGTTGCACCATAAGCACACCTGGATGTAAACGGGAAGCCTTCGAGCCTTTCGGGACGACGATGCTTGGCCACTGCACAAGAGTGTGTACCAACTTCAACTATGTAAATAGTTTCATTTTTATTTATAAATGGATGTGGAGTACTCAACTAAAAATTTACAAAAAAAAATCAGTGTGCATAGCCTGCGCTGCTGACGACAACGACGACCAGGTGTGTGTACCAACTTCAGTCATGCAAATGGACTGGAGTACTCAACTAAAAAAAAAAAAAAAAAAATCAGTGTGCTAGCCTGCTTGGACACAAGCCCGAGTTCTCCTTTTACTAGATCGATCACCAACACATCGAAGGATTTCATACTAAAAAAATAAATGCTGAATCTTCACAACTAGCAGTCACAGCAACGCCAACCACACCAGCTTGTTTCAAGAGCGAAGATGGCTGGCAATTCTTTTGGCTCCGGCCGAGCCAGTGTGTTCGGTTATTGAGCGATGGTTGGTTGGTGCGTTCTGCTCCGGACGGTTACCGACCCAACGCCGCGGAATCGCCTTTCCCGTGGCCGTGGCTACCCCAACCACAACTACACGCGGATTTCACAGAAAAAGCTTATTAGGCTCCTGGATGCTCTCCATTTTCTTCCCTTACAATAGATAAGTTTAGAAAATAATGCTAGTACTACATAGGAAAGCTCTGCGTTTAGCATTTGCCATAGCCATTCGTTTCAACAGCAAATCTGCAAATGGGACCGAGTTTAAGAAATATACTATATGTAGTCAAGGTCTCAAGGAGCTTAAGTCAAGACAACTTGACTTTTGACAATTTCATCACGCGGACTAAGGCCCTATTCGCTAGAATGAATTTGTGAGATAATAAACAGTGAAAACCATCCGTACAGAGTGAAATTCGGCTGGTTTTCTTACCAACCGAACTGCCCCTAAAACCGTTGAGAGCTTTAGGGAGTGCAATTTTGGCAAATAATCTAAAAGGCGAGAGTTTTAGTCAAAAGCTTTCGTTATGTCACCCACTCTTTAAAAATTTGCAAAAGATCACATCACTCTGAGTCACACAAAAAAAAGATCACATCACTCTGGACTTATTTCAACAGCTCAAGTGTTCAACGCATACTACTTTTTTTTCCAACGCTCCAAAATCTAACATCAGCACAGAAAAGTAGCAATAACTCTGGAACTTGGAAGGCACGTCTCTGCTTCGGTGCTCCCCAATTATCTGCAGGGAGTTACATCGAAAGATGGTTTGCCTTTATTACTACTATTACTATCTCCATCCCAAATTATAAATCATTCCAACATTTTAGAAAGTAAAAGCATATCAAGTTTCACTAAATTTATATAATCCAATAATAACATTTATAATACTAAATAAGTATTATTAGATTCTTTATTAATTATATTTTTATAGTATATCTATTTGATGTCAAACTTAAGATGTTTTGACTGTCCAAAAAGTTAGAATGATTTATAATTTAAGATAGAGGGAGTACGTATTTCTCTTAACACACGAAAGTGATAATTTTAGTCGATTAAACATTTTCAGCAGCTTGACACCTAATAATAAGAAAAAAGATGCAGCTTTTTTTGTTAGGTTGCTGAGGTGCAGAATTTAGGGCCTGTTTCATTGAAGTACCGGGTGAGTTGCGTGGCAAAAACTGTTGTCTGAGAGTTTAGAAAAATATGTGTGGTTAGATGCATGTGCCTGACTACGCTAACCAAACTAAAGTGACTTTGTAGTATATATATAAGACCAATCTACATTGTTATAGTCTGCATATGGAGATGAATTATTTGTTTTAGTCTTTTTTTTCTAAGTTCATAGCATTATTTAAATAATTAATTTTGTTATATTTAACTAGAGTGGAGCATGAAAAGTTAAAGGAAATAATTTTTTTTTTGGCAAGTTGTCTCGTCGAGTCCAGATGACTATGTACATCTATACTAATATATATCTATATCTATATCTATATCTATATCTATACATCTATACTTAATAATAAATAAGCAAAATTTTCAGCCATTTTTTTTTCCATCCATTTTTTTCGTCCACCTCCCCCTAACTACCTTCGTCCACCTCCCCCTAGCTACCGGTAATTGAGAGTTTCTTCCATCTAAACTTATATGACCGTAGATAGTTAGGACAAATAAATCTCTTCGAGCTAGAATAAACTGAATAGGAATAGAAATCTTAATTCAAATAGAAAATAAATTATACAAAATCTTATTTTACTTTCTATATAACAAAGCGTCTCTTTCAACCCGGCTTTTTACTTCCCATCCATAATACGTCCATCATGTTACATTAATGCCCGTACAAGAATACGAATACGACTCAAGCTCGTTGTGCAATCAATTATTACGTACATAATTTGCCTGTCCGTCCGGCCGCTCGTGTGGGTGAAATGAAAAAGGGTAAAGAAAACAAGAAAAAAAGTATTTATGTATTTTAGTGTTTTCCATAGCCCGGATAAGTTGCTTTACCTCCTTGTTCCATTCTGACAAACACCAAGTCCTTCCGATATAATTGCCTAGGACACTAGCAGCAACACTCTTGCCTGTCTGCTGGATCGAGCACTGAATTAAGTTTTTCAAAACAACTTAAACTTATAAAATACATAATAATAAATCACAAATATACTAAAAAAAGGTAAACCAATTTTATTTGGTTTTTACAAACTAGATCCATAGGATACGTGTGATAAAAATCATGAAACAGGCTTCATATTTTTATGCAATTAGATTTGTAGATTTCATAATGTGTACGTCTAAACCGCAAACCCCATGTAGGTCACCGTAGACAAACTAGATCCATACGATACGCGTGATAAAAATCATGAAACAGGCTTCATATTTTTATGTAATTAGATTTGTAGATTTCATAATATGTACATCTAAGCCGCAAATCCACGTAGGTCACCGTAGACATGTATAAAAAATAGTGAAAACCGTGCAACGCATGAGCACATATCTAACTTAGAATCAATCAATAATAAGCAAAACAATCCAAATCACATCACACCAAAAAGGAAAAGGAGAAGTGAGCAAACTGCACGGCTAAGAAGAGAGAGGCAGCGCTAGGCATGCCGGGCATGCGCATGCACGTTCGACGAGTTAGAATAATGTCGGTTACTCGCAAAAAAAGACTAATGACATGTTCAGCTTATCTTAAAGCAAACTATCTGAGCTACTGCTGCTACAAGGTTGACATAAAAAAAATATAGGTACAGCGCTTTTCAGCAACTGTAGCCTGGAAAGAAGCAATTGTTGCGCTACCATTGAACGTCTCGAGCTCACTGTAGCCGTCGCGAGCGCTGCCCCAACCATACATATATTCTTCAACAAAAACAACAATCAAATCAAAGGCTCGTCCGGACTAGGTATGCTCTTTTTTTCACTTGTCCCTGTTTGAACTGGTTTCGTCCGTTCTTTTTCTAAACTTTATAAGCATCCACTTCAATCTTCAGTTTTCAACTTCTTATTCTAATTTAGTAGTTCCCCATAAATATCAATAATAATGTAATAAAAAATATAATAATATTATACGTCTTTAAGCCCTTGACCTCTTCTTTAAGAAATATATTTTTTTCATCACCAAACTATTGGTGGTACAATTCTAATTAGAAATAAAATGTATCTTATTGTTACAACCTTGCTTAGCCGATATGGTTCATTCAATCAAACTGTGGACTGAAATCTTAAGTTAGTTGTTCAGTTTTAGTCTAACAAATATCTTTCCAAGCATAATTCTAGATGAAA